AACTTGCCAGGTGAAACTTCTCTGGGGGACAAATGTGCGAGGTTAGTCTCTAACGGCATATACCAAAATAAGGACTTCAAACTTTGTATTCTTTCCACCCAATTTTCATTATACCCGAGTAGCTTTTCTACACAGCGATTAGTCAGCAAAAATATGATACATCTCGAGTCACTCAGAAAAATACGCTGTAGCATGTTGACAAAATTCATTTATGACGTACTTCGAAGTACTAAGTTCCAGCAACGCTCCATACACGAAGGTTAGCGGCGCAAAGATTTACAACTCAGAAAATTGCGGTTATCTTTGAGGCCTGCAGAATTACAGGAAAAGAATTTATAGTTGGCCCTTAATATTGCAGTAGGCAAGAAATGTAGCAATGAAGCGAAGTAATCAGCCTAGGATAACGTTCCCAAAGGGTTATGTGACAGTTTCTGCACAGACGGGACATCGTATAAGAACAGTTGTTATGAGTAGTTTGACTTCTAGTTCCGTGTTTAACCAACGGTTAATACGAGAGAAGCCGCAAACGTTGCGCTGCATAGAAAACCTTGTTACGAAAGTTTCGCTTGCTTCTGAGTGAACTTATGTCACCAGACTGACAATCTTCCCGGCATGCGAGCGCGCAACTAAGCGCTTCCCAACTCTAAGCTAAACTTATTCCGACTCTCGCTTTTACATTGTTTTTTGAAGGTTAAATTATGCTGTGATATAATTTTTAGCGAAATTGATATGTTTTATGAGACAAATTAGAGATGAACAGCATCGAATTATTTTTTTACAAACCACTTATCATTCGGCTATTATCTGTCTTGGAAAGTTTGGCAGCTGAACACAGCAAAAACCGGCCGACAGCTAATATCTATTAAAGGACAAAAAAAAGTCTGATTCGCAGTCAACTTACCAGCTTGCTTTTTCTTTGCTAGTTGCGTATTCATTTGCCAGAAAATAATTTAGCTTTGCGTGCACTCCAACTGGTGGCTTTAACGAGCATTGAAGCGATGTAGAGATGACCGAATTTGAACACACGCCCATTTCTGCCAGCCGCGAAGCATAAATGAATTCGCGACTTTAAGATTCAAACTCTGATGCTCTATCGACTGAGCTAGACAGGCCTCATTATCGTTAGAAGCTGAGTACGCAATTTCCAGCGTTTAGTTTAAAGCTCTCCCCACTGAGGCATTATTGGCGATTGGAAATACCTGAAGAATAAAAAGAAGCGATTCGTGAACCATTGTTTAGTGTTTTGTGACGCATTAATGCCCATTTTCACGACCATACGAAATGAAAAATTATAATTACATTCGGTGCGCCATGAGAGCTGCCAAAATTTTGTTGAAATCGTCAGAGGTCGCGTGATTCCCTCAACAACAGCTAGACTCCAACATTAACAAAATGTAACCCAAACATCTGAAAAAAGATCTTTTTCAACAACTAAACAGCCGTTTGTTGCCTAATCGAACGATTAACAGCATTAGATAGCTCCACAGAACGAAACTTAAACGCGGGTGACACAACCTCAAAGCTCTCCCAATTTAGGTATCATTCTGGACGAACAAGGTGATTTTCCAAGAAATCGAGGGCACTGAAAAAGGAGAAAACGTCATGCAGTAAAACTGAACTTTCGCGGTGAAATCGTCAGCAGCTTGAAATCTGCGCAGTAGCTGAAACGTAATTAAAATATCCTCTGCCTCAGCCGCTATCCTTGACGCTCAAACCCAACTATTAACCTTCTCTTTACAACACAGGCGCTCTGTTTTTCACCCAGTAGGACAACGGATCTGAGAAGTTCATGTAATTTCTCCGTTGCAGCCTGCACTAAACTTTACCCGCAAACGATCCTCAAGCAGAAAATATGATAATTTTCTTGCTTCAGTCGTATCTTCTATTGCTATTCATGATGGTTAAGAACTGTACGCATTAACTCATCACAGAACGTTAAACCATGCGGCAAGACGCGATATGTGGAACGCTGTCAGGTCTTAATTTAGCCATTAAAGTGATGTAGAGACTTGGCCTGCCTTCGCCAAATCTAGCTGTTTTACTGATTGCCAACTTCAGAATTTTTATCTTTGCTTATCACCTGTTATCGAAGTGCAAAGCTACGGATCACTCGGTTGAACACAAAAAGTGCATTATTTTATAAAAAGACAAGTTGTTCAACACTTGTTCTCCAATGCGGTTGTTATAAAGACTGGTCCTCCTTTATTTAGCGCAAGCGAGCAAAATATGCTTTGAAGACCTTTCAACTGTTCACGCAGTATTCAGGCTTCCAAGCGCTTGCTGATACACCACAGAAAATACAGAGTTTTACTGCACTGCAGAAGCTGACTTTCTGTCAAGCAACTTTCGGAGAGTTTCTATCGATGACGTTACTTTTAACTGCTTGTCTGACGATGTATCTTGTAAGGCATTCAGCTGATACAAAAATTTTGTAGCGTCAAAATACATAAAATTATGCGACAAGACGTCCGTACAAAACTAAATTTTCCTTACCTTCATTCGTCACCTTGTCTGTATAAAACACCTCCAATTGTGACATGCGTTTTTTCAATTGATTTTGCAAGATTGCTGCTCTAAAAGAATGCCCTTAGCGATTATGACAGACAGCTGTTTTCCTATTTTTTTCTCCGTTTTTTTTTCGCTTTTACTCATTCTTACTCCAAGAAGCGCTTCCAGTTAGAGTGTTGGCTTTGGAAGATGTAAAGCACAGAAAGAATGTGCTTTTGGCGAGTAACTTTTATAAGATACTGCCTGAGACGGATCAATGCGCTAAGCCGTATACAGACCAACTTCAAAGATTCTGCAATTTTGTTGGACGACACTCATGTTTCTTCAATGTTTTTAACCCATAATTATCGTTGTTTCCTTTTCAAAAAGACTTTCTGTTAAAAATTCCGCAAAAGAACTGCAGCGTAGGTCTTTGTAGAAATAGACTTCAAGCGCTCTGAAAGTGAGATGTTTAAATACCTGCTCATATTTAGTTTATTTTTATTTGCAACACAAGAAAGTTGACGCTCGAAAGCTTACTATCCATTCAGGCATAAAAAATGGCAGTTGGACTGTACGGTATTTAGGCCGTTTTTCACAATGTGGACTACATAATCGGACAAAAAAGGTAAATCGATTGTAAACGTTTTACTTTTTGACTGCTAAAAAGATTCCGAGATTACTGCTGTTCTAAAAACATTTTCCACTCTTGAAAAAAGAAAATGCAGCGCTCTTTATGTAGGAATTTGGAAATGTGGAGAAAAGACTCATTTAATCGGCAAGCGAGAAGTGAATGAAGTTTAGCTGCGTTGGTGGCGTTTGTGTAAGCTATGACGCATTTCCACTTGACTTTGCGGAAAGCGATGTGGTTTTATGTTACTGCGGAACTTTAATTGTTACACGATCTGCTGCTTTCTGCACTGCTCATAGAAATCAAGAAATGACTGTATCCATTAAGCTTTTTGCTGATTTGCTATTTACGTCAATAGGTATATAGTTAACTTGCAGCAACCAAATCACCATCTTTTTCATCGCCTGCTTCAATAAAGAAATCGCTGTATGGTTTAAATATATAAGCATTGTTTAACGTCTGATTTATTTTGACAACCATATAAAGAGCAAAGCGTTTTTTAAACATTTAATCAAGAAATCTTTGTTGAAAAACGTCCGAGTTTTTAATTGTTCGTTTTCTAAAAAATTGAGAAGTGTAATTCCGGTATTTTTGTACTGTACTGTTAGAACCCTTTTAAAAAATAAATTAAGCGCTTCATTATTATTTTCGATTAACTTGACTTCTGTATTTGTCGCACTAAAAAAAATGGTTTAGTAATGGTGCTTCTTATATGTAGAAAAAATTTTGCATTTTCACTACAAGTTTCAGTCTAGTTAACTTTTTAGAGCCCTAACAACGATTAGTATGTAAATTGTTAAGACGCCTTATGATACTGTAAACTTAGCAAACGCATAAGCATTTGCCGTTTTTATTTGGTACATCCTAAAAATCACTTATCAACACAAAATAAATTTCAGAAGTAAACTGAGCTTTCTGTCCAGCAGAAAGCCTCGTGCAGTAAAATTGCAATTTAAAAGTTTTTTGTTGTCCGCTTTGACTAGTTTTAAACAAATTGGCAAGGCGCTTTGAATTAAACAGCGACGGGCTATTTGTGCTGTCAGTGTATACAGGCTAAAAACAAATACGCACCCATGAAAAACATCATAATATAAGCAGGACACCTTTAGCATGAGCAAAATTCTACTCATTTCTTCGTTGTTTAATAGATCTTACCAATCAAATTTCATATGAAACATCATTAAGAACTTGCAAATATCCAACTCCAAGGCACTGAAATTAATAGTACAATATAGCATAACTTTTTAGATTAAAATTTAAAAGTAGAAAATCTCATTTAGTAAGCTTCAACAAACGACAACATTACTTAATTCTCCTGAAAAAATTTCACAAACAGATAGTGGTCATTTTATCAATGTTTAGAGTCAAATAAAACAAAAATAAGTCTTTTTCCACAACTCTTATCTCTCGACGAACACTGCTATTAGAAAAATTACTTTTCCGTCTCAAGATAAACTCAATAAATTACTCAAACCTGAAGAAAAAAACAATATAAAAATAAGAAAATAACGATCTCCCAGAATTTTTGTGAATTTTGGCTAAGTCCCAAAATGTCACTCGACTCTGAATGGCGTTCTCTATAAAGCACAGTTTACTGTAGTTTTCACAAAACAAAAAAGAGACGCTGTACCGCATTAAGAACAAACAATAATAGCAAATTTGTATAAGCTTATCGAGATGAGTATGTACAATAAAGTAAAGTTGTACCAAAAAAGTTATTGCTTATAAGAACATAGACAATATCACATTTCTTTTGAAACATATACTTGCCATAGTTTTCCAGATCAAACTTCGCATTTAACCCACATATTCAAATTACAATTGATACTGTTTTAAAAAAGCAAAGGGAAAAACTGAAGTGAAGTTCAAAATTTACCCATAGTCAGTTGGAAACTCGCGACAACCGAAATCGACGAGTCGGCGGTCTTGTGTGTCGACTTCGCACACGAGATGATGATGGATTGTTTAGCTTCCCAAAAGTTGGAGGAACATCAAAATCTAAAGCATACTCTTCTTGTTGCTCCTTTTCAATGTGAAGCGGGGAAGGTGATATTTCGTCGCTTGAAGAAAGGTCCTCAGAAGACGCAACTGGAGCTAACGGGGGAAGATCTTGAATTAGTTTATCCCTGAAAAATGCATTTCTTACCGTGAAACTAGAAAACGTTCTTTACAATAGAAATAGCTGAATCAAAAAGACAGAAAAAAAGCTTAGTGAAACAAACTTTTCTGTATCGAGAAAGTCGAGTTGCTCAATGAATAGTTGTCTTGCAGTCTCCATATTCGCAGTCGCTGAAGATTCTCCAAGGTCCATCGAATCTTTTTTATGTTCTTCAATGCGGCGTAAGTTCTCACTAATCTGAAAAAATTTTTTGAAAATACATTACATTCCTGCTTTCTAAAAATTCCTGAAAAACGATCTTTTGAATATCAAAAACCACCTGCTGACTCATCAAAAGTAAGTAAAGTCTCCATTTGGAAGCGATGACAAGTAGCACAAGAAAAACTTTAGAACATCTTTCGAAATCAACCATTCACTTAGTAGCAAATTTAGCAAACCCTTAGAGCAAACCTTTGCTCCAACTCCTTCCAGAGTAACAATCTGTGTTAACGTAGATTTGTACTGCTTAAGTTTTTCTTCAATAAGCGCTTGAACACATATTGCCTGCCGATTTACATCGCGCAATTGTTCCTGAGCATGCACCGACTGATTGCTTCGAAGTATGCACGGAGCAAAAATTAAAGCCAAATTATTAGGGCTCATTTTATTGACAGGTTCCTGAAAAGAATAGCGTCATTATCAGTCAGTAAATCAGCAACAGAAAATGAGTATGTTGGAAGAAGTTAACTGCAGACCAAATGCATCAAAAGCAACCTCAAAAGCAACTCTAGCTAGATGATACATCAGCCTGTCCAGAACGCATCGATTACATTTTGGAAGAAGTTCAACCATAACACTCAAACACCGAATTCTCTCGTAAGGTTCCTCCACTTCTGAAAATCAAAAGTTACGTGATTTTGATGAACTAAATTCGCTATTCCAGCCAAGGTTTCTTCAGATGTGTTTCTCATTTCGAACTGTTCTGAATTTAGAAAAATCTTTGGGTCAAACCTGATGCGTTCAAAAAATTTTCGTACAGTTCGTACGTTATCAGGGGCTCCGGAAGTTCGCGAAAAAATGACTTCACCAATGTGCAGATAACATGGATCGGAAAATCCTCAAGATTCAAATCATCAAATTCTGCAAAAATTAAACGATTTTGACTGAAAACATAAAAATTTCGTAACCCAAATTCTAGATTCATACTTGCAGC